TGCATTTAAATTGTTATTCTCACCTAAGAATGTGTTTGATATATACTCTGACACTTGATTTCCAGACCGACTCATTTCAGAGAGATGGGTGAGCTCCCGATTAAGCATCCTTTTAAACTGAAAAACAGAAAGATAAAATGAAATAACAGAAGGGGAAAGTCGAAGTGAAATAACATAAGCATATGTGAAGATACAGAAAATACGCCAAAGAATTTTTAACCTGTCCTGACACTTTAGATCAGAGCCATCGAATAGAACTTTATGCAATGATGAAAAAATGTGTAATTTCTGCTGTCCATTACAGTAACCACTAGCATGTGGCCGTCAGCCACTTAAAATGTGGCTAATGCAAGTGAGAAGCTGAATTTGAAATTTTATTAAAATTTAATTAATTTAACTTCAATAGTTACATGTAGCTGGGGTCTACCATATTGGACAGCACAGATTTAGACACTCAAGAAACACATTAAGCATAAAAAATAACATGTATTATCAGTACTTACAAAATAGAAAAAAAAAGAATTTATAAACACATAAAAGGGTTGCCACACAATAAAACATGGTATGTTTTTATCAATTAACTTGTCATGAGCAGAAATGAATATGTATACTGCATAGAGGTTACAATGTAGTCTTCTCCTTCCAAAGCAAAACTGGATAGATTTATCTGAGTATCCTACCAGAAGAAAAATATTTGAATAGATACTATACGTTTCCTTTAAAAACTGTTTTTTAACTAGGGATTTATTGGTTCTCAACATCTACAGAATTTACCAATCCATTTCCCTCAGTCCCATAAATACAACTGGAAATTGACCTGTTCAATTGAAACTTCAGTTTACTTTACTGGTGCCATGGTGCCTGTTTTATCAAAGAAACCCTGGAATTTATCTACCACCACCATGTGACATTATCACAATCCAGAATTCTTAAGGATGTTATGCTTTCCCATCTATCAACTGCTTCTTAATGTATCTTCCTTTGAATCCCGAAATAACCCAAAGAGGCCTTTAATATACCTTAAAATTTCTCTTATCCTCCCTAAACAATGAATTTTTCTATATATTGAGCAACTATTAGATTCTTGATCCAAGAAAGTCATATTTTACTCCAATATTTAGTTGCCTTTAAAATTTTGATTTACACCATAAAGCCTCACTTAAGTATGGGGGAAAGAGAGTAGTGAATCCGTCATTTAGTAATGTTTGAAATGTAATTCTAACTCAGTATTTAATTAGTTTATTAGAATTTTAAAAAATCTTGATTCTCTGGGTAGTTCATACCAAAGTGTTCTAACTCAAAATAATCTGGCAAATTGCTTCCAGAGTTAATTTTATTGACCGTCCAGATTAGGTATAAGAATTCATCACGGTAAAGCACTGAGGGATATCAATAAAATATTTCAGTTGACTGTTGGATACAAGAAATGGGTACTAGCATTCTCCTAGAGTCAAAACTGAAGACCTGGCTATCGCCAGTAACAAATTCCTCTGGTTGTTAATTTACAGGTTGAGGGAGCTTATCCTCAAACCAGAACACAAAGTTCACTTTCTTTGTGTTTTTTTAATAACTTACTCTGATTATAAAATGCACAGGTGATACAGAAAATCTAGAAAGCAATATATAAAAAATTAGAACTCATATATATCCCCACTTTCCCACTGCTAATAATCACATAAAATTAGCTATATTTCCTTCTATGCCTTTTTTTCCATCTGTGTGTGTGTGTGTGTGTGTGTGTATGTGTGTGTGTGTGTGTATATATATATATATATATATATATATAAATATATATATATATATTTGTTGAAGTATTATGAGGTTCAGGTGTACAACATAGTGATTCAATAGCTTTACAGATTCTGCATCATACAAATTTATATAATATTATTGACTATATTCTCTGTGCTGTACATTACATTCTGTGGGGGATATATATAAATAGTGGACTATTACTCAGCCATAAAAAGAATGGAATCTTGCCATTTGTGATAACATGGATGGACCTGGAGGGTACTAAGCTAAGTGAAATAAATCAGAGAAAAACAAACAATGTACAATTTCACTTACATGTGGAATCTAAGAAGCAAGTGATCAAATATAACAAAACAGAAACAGACTCACAGATACAGAAAAAATAGTGGTTGCCAGACTTGGGGTGGGGGATAAGGGATGGACAAACCAGAAGAAGGGGATTAAGAGGTACAAACAACCAGTTATAAAATAAGTAAGTCATAGGGATATATGTGTATTTTTAAAATCAGTATCATGCAGTCTACAAAACATGGGTTGTTGCTTAGTTTCACTGAACATTATATATTATGACTGGCTGGGGAAAAACTAAAATTTGGAACCTCCTAAGAATATTCATGAAGACATTCCCAATAGTGTTCAAAACAATTTCTGTCCATCTTCTATACAGTATCTTCTTGAGCAAATTATAGGCAATCAACTATGAATCCATTAGATCACTTAACTTGCACTGGCATAGAGAAGGTGATCAACATTATTTGTGTTCTGTCTCCCAGTTCCCTGGGCCTTTCATAGTGACAGCTGATTTTCACAATGGCAGAACAAATGGATGACAGATCTAACTACACTCATGCCTACACAAAATATGTATCCAAATATCTATCTCCCCTACCAATTCCAAAAAATAATTTAGGGTATTATTCATATAGGAAATGGTCACCATACTTCAAAAATATACCAATAATACCATGCATAAGGTAAGTAAATCTTGTTTAACAAATGACACTTACTCTTGGAAAAAAATCTACTCTTTAGGCAAAATATAATCAAAAGACAATCTGCTAAACACCTCAAACACATATTTAATGAAGTATTTCTTTGACCTGAAACTATCCATGTGCTATGAGATAAAAGTTGCTATTAAGTATTGCCTGGTCATGACAAAGTCCTTTCTTAAAAGATGGAGGAATAGGTAAGGCTTTCAGCCACTCCTAGCCTTTCCTCAATCTGATACAGGAACCACTGTATCCACCTACCCTCCATGCATTTCTCTCAATTTAACTAAAAAATGATGCAAT